AAATAAAGTTCAGATTCGTAATCAGCGACCCCGAAAACCCCCGAGTACAAAAATTCAGGCCAATTGAATGAATTTTTGCATTAGTCGTCCGCCATATTGGATTCGCCATTTTGAATTTCTAAAAACTAAGTTCAGATTCGTTATCAGCGACCCCAAAAACCTCCGAGTATTAAATTCCGGCGAATTTGATCTCATTTTTGCAATTTAACAAATATTATAAATTTTTATAACTGATTTGACGTCATATTGAGTCCGCCATTTTGAAATTTTGAATTCTACACTACGTTTCTCAAAAGTATTACAATTTTTATGCATTTTTGGTTGAGAATTGAATTTTAAACCACTATATTTAATTTTTTGATTAATCGAATTAATTTATAAAAACTTAGTTTTAGATTCGTTCAAAAAATTTTTGTGACTTTTTGAAATTCGAAGCAATCAGTTTTTATCAAAATCTAGAAAAATTATATTTAAATAAATTCTGTTATAAAATTCCTTTTTTCTAATTTAGTATTTTAATTTTTCTCAATATACATTAACACCAGTAGAAAAATGTCATTCAAATGTTACAGCATGTACACATGTGAATAGAGCAAAGAATAAAAATCAGAAATCCTCGACCTCAGGACATAACCGGATTATTTCATCTTTATAGAGAAATTCCAATAAGTGTTTTTTTTTTTTCCTTTTTTTAGGGGAACATATGGAATGTAGCAGGGGTAAGTATTTAATCCGACGAGGGTAACAATAAAAGTTACCCTCCTCAGAATTTTTTGGGCAGCCACAGGAGCAACGTAAACTTATATTTATATATATGAGTTTGAAGCGTGGTCCCTTTTACCAAAAGCTGGTACACATATAACGTAAGGAGAGAAAAAGTGAGAGAGAGAGAGAGAAAAAAGTTCTCCTTCTTGCTGGTACAATGCTCTGGGTATTGTGTGTATAGACCCCTCGGCTAATCGGATTAACGCATGCACTAAAAAAAGAGCAAACGCCCAAATCGCATTTATATTAGCTTCGTGAATGAGTCGTAAATATTTATGTTGCAGAAATTCACCCCCCCCCACTCCTTCTCTTTTGCTCTTAGAAATATTATCCCTTCTTCTTGTATTCTGCATTCAACAAAAAAAAAAAAAATGAAACTGAAAGTGGCTCACTAATCGGATCTCACTTCTTCCTATTCTTATTTTGTGACCACGACAATTTTTCTTCGCCTCATTCAAATGTGAATTGACACTGACGAGAGTATAATTGCAGGTGACCCCCTTTTTTTATATATGTAATTACCTTGTACAATGAAAGACTTTTCATTTTTAAAATTAATATAATGTATTTCTAAATGGGGACATCTACATATTTGTACTACGTATTTATAGTTGTATAAAACTGTTAGAATCTGAAAGTAAAAGTAGTACAAGTTTTTAATACTAAATAATAACTAAAATTAATACTGTTCGTATTATTTTTCAGTATGGTTAAAAATTGGTACGTTGTAAAAGCAGATAGTACTAAGTTTCTAACAATAAATAATACTGAAAATTAATAAGGTCAATATTAATTTTCAGTATGGTTAAAAATCTTGTACGTTGGGAAAGCAAAGCTATACTAGTTTTTCATTAAATAATATACCAAAAATACATTTTGGTTTAATGTTTCAAAAATTGGTATGTTCTGAAACCAAAAACAATAGTTTCTAATACCAAACAATACTGAAAATTAATAAAGCCATACTGATTGTCAGTATTGTTAAAATCTGTAAGGCTCTAAAAGCAGAGCCAGTACTTGATTTAAATTAAATAATACCAAAAATTAATGTTGTCCATATACTAACAATATAGTTTCAAAAACGTTACGGAAGCAACGCACTAGTTGTAACACCAAATAATAACGAAATGTAATAAGGTCCACACTAATTTTCAGTATGGTCAAAAACTGGTACATTCTGAAAGCAAAACTAATATTAGTTTCTAACACCAAATATTGTCGAAAATCAATAAGGTCCATACCAATTTTCAGCATGGTCAAAAATTGGTACATTGATACGACTAGTTTTTAACAAATTGATACCGAAAATTAATAACTATACTAATTTTCAGTATGGTCAAAAACTGGTACGTTCTTTAAGCAAATTTATAGTAATACTTTCTAGTACTAAATATTATCAAATCAATAAAATTGGTACGTTCTAAAAGCAAACCTCGTACTAGTTTCTATTAACATATATCTATATATTAATACCAAAGATTATTAAATCCATACTAATTTTCAGTATGGTCAGAAACTGGTACGTTTTTTTATACCTAAACAGTGTATATCCAAAACCGAGATATATCCCATTTTAAAATCTATTATTATAATTTTTACCTTTTTTTTGGATATTATCCTTTCCCAGGTGGAAAAGTTCCCGGTAGTACCGCTCCCGCTACCTGAACATTCACTACCAGTAGTCACTACCGGTAATTATTCCTAGACTACCGGTAGACACTACCGGTAATTTTTCCGGGACTACCGGTAGTCACTACCGGTGATTTTTCCATGACTACCGGTAGCCACTACCGGTAATTTTTCCGGTACTACCGGTAATCACTACTGGTAATTTTTCCTAGACTACCGGTAGCCACTATCGGTAATTTTTCCGGGACTACCGGTAGCCACTACCGGTAATTTTTCCGGTACTACCAGTAGTCACTACCGGTAATTTTTCCTAGACTACCAGTAGCCACTACCGGTAATTTTTCCAGGACTACCGGTAGCCACTACCGGTAATTTATCCGGTACTACCGGCAGTCACTACCAATAATTTTTTCGTTACTACCGGTAGTCACTACCGGTAATTTATCCGGTACTACCGGCAGTCACTACCGGTAATTTTTTCGTTACTACCGGTAGTCACTATCGGTAATTTTTCCTAGACTACCGGTAGCCACTATCGGTAATTTTTCCGGGACTACCGGTAGTCACTACCGGTAATTTTTCCTAGACTACCGGTAGCCACTACCGGTAATTTTTCCGGGACTGCCGGTAGCCACTACCGGTAATTTTTTCGGTACTACCGGTAGTCACTACCGGTAATTTTTCCTAGACTACCGGTAGCCACTATCGGTAATTTTTCCTATACTACCGGTAGCCACTACCGGTAATTTTTTCGTTACTACCGGTAGTCACTATCGGTAAATTTTCCGGGACTACCGGTAGCAGCTAACGGTAATTTTTCCGGGACTACCGATAGTCACTACCGTTAGTCATTACCGGTAATTTTTCCGGGAATTACAATCAAAAATTTTTTATTTGTTAATAAATTTTGATTGTAAATCCCGGAAAAACTACTGGTAATGACTACCGGTAGTCCAGGAAAAATTACCGATAGTGACTGCCGGTAATCTAGGAAAAATCACCGGTCGTGACTACCGGTATTAATTTACCACATTAATTTTTTGGTATTATTTAATTAAAAACTAGTACTAGCTTTGCTTTCAGTTACAGATTTTAACAATGCTAAAAATTAGTATAACTTTATTAATTTTCAATATTATTTGGTGTTAGAAACTAGTATTAGCTTTGCTTTCAGATCGTATATATCAATTCCCGACTATATACTAAAAATTAGTTTAGACCATATTAATTTTCGGTATATTAACTATATGTCGTATCAACGTACCATTTGCTTTCAGAACTTACCAGTTTTTGATTATATTAAAAAATAGTACAAACCCTATTAATTTTAGTTATTATTTAGTGTATCAGAAAATCTTTCTTTCCGAACATATCAGTTTGATACAACTATAAATATAGTAGAGATGTATTTTAAAATCCATTCATTAAATTTTAAAATCAAAAATCTTCCACAAAAGAAGTCATACAATTTTTTTCCCTAAATAACCTTAAGAATTTAAATTAATTTATACTAAACCAAAAAAAAATTGGTTTTTTTTGGGGGGAGGCACTTTCTTTATCTCATATTCGCTGTGGCAAACAACCTGTACGAGCGAGTGATACTAGGGAAGTAAAAAAAGAGAAAAAATAAGGCAGGTATAAAGTCGAGAAAGACAAGTCTGAAAGGTGAGTAAGACTGTTATAGTGAGGAGAAGGAAGAAGGAGCATAAAAGACTCGACACTCCGTTATAATAAAGTCCGCCCTTGGAAGCCTTCCGTCCGCCTTCTCTATATATACCTTCACTTTTGTGTGTGTATGTGCGGAAGGGTGCTTTGGCATTACCCAACTTACTTTGTTCCTGAACTTTATTAATTTTTCCTTCGGTCTTGGGGGAGCCAACGCTGTATAGAGATGCTGCCGGCTTGGATCTCTCGAGGTTTTTTAAGGGTTTGGGTTGAGTTGCGCGCGAAGGAATGAGATTCTTATGGGGGGACGAAGGGGGGGGGGCAAGAGAAGGGGGTTCTCTTCCTTGTGACGGGAAATTTTAAAATCTGTCGACGCAATGTCGAACGACCGAGAAAACTTTATTATTAGCGGCATCTGTGGCGATAAGAGAGAAAAAGAAGGGGGAGACAGATACAGACAAAGATGTCCCTTTTTTTTTTAATATTTAGATGATTTATTAAATTTATCTACTTCAAAAAATTTACATAAAAATAAATATACAAATAGTAAAATAAATATTAAAATAAATTGTGTCTAAAAAAAAAATTGTAGCTATGAAATAATTTTAAAGAATTATTCTCGCCAATGTATTTCATTGCAGATTTCATTCTTTTTCTCTTTTTTTTCTCTCTATCTCTCACTCTATCAGCTCTGCTGATGCAATATTCAGACTAGAAAACGACAAAAAAAAAAGAAATACGTGACCAAATCGTTCATCATCACCGGTGCACGAATCTGTCAGCTATATATAAAAAAAAAAAAAAATGTGCGCGCACTGTATAGGAAATTTAGGAAAAATGAGCTGGAAAGAAATTTTATTATTTATTTCGTAATATCTATTTTTTTCGGAAAACTAGATATTATGATTATTTATAGGAGTACTGTAGATTAATAGTTTAAATTATTAGTTTTTAATCTCAGAAATATATATTTAATGATTTATAAAATAAAATTAACTAATTTTTAATACAAAAAAAACTAAATTCCAAAAAAAATCTTTTCATTAGTTACTGGTTTTCTACATTTGTAACGAATATCCTTGCGCGGTTCATAAACAATATTTTCACCTTCATTTATATAACACATCATTTTGAAGGATATTGTAATATATCTGCCATTGCAAATTCCTGAAATTCGAAGAAAAAATGTAAGTATGGCAATGTTTACTATGGTAGCGATTATTATATTTACCGTTAATATGGTAGCAGTTACTATACAAACAATTATACTGCAGCAATGGTTAGTATGGCAACAGTTACTATACAAACGATTATTCTATAGTAACGATTTGTATATCAGCTGTTACTATACAAACTGTCACAAACGATTATACTATAGAAACAGTTAGTATAGCAAAAATTATTATACAAACAATTATACTACAATGGTAATTAGTGTAGCAAACTTGGGTATAGTAATAATTACTATACAAACGATTATACTACAAGAATGGTTAATATAACAACAATTATTATATTAGCAATTGCCATAGCAACTGTTGGTATGGTAACAATTACTATACAAAGGTTTATACTACAGCAACGGTTAGTATAGCAGCGGTAACTATACAAACGATTTTACTTCAGTAACGGTTAGTATAGCAACAATTGTTATAATAGTGATTGTTACAGCAACAATTGATATGGTAACAGTTACTATACAAACCATTAATCTATACTAACGGCTACAGTAGAAACGATTATACAATAGCAACAGTTTGTATGGCAAAAATTGTTATATTATAGATTGCCATATCAACTATTGGTATATGGTAACAATTACTATACAGAAGTTTATATTACAGCAACGGTTAGTATAGCAACAATTGTTATAATAGTGATTATTACAGCACCAATTGATATGGCAACAGTTACTATACAAACAATTAATATAAAGTAACGGTTAGTATCGCAACGGCTACAGTACAAACGACTATATGACAGTAACGAGTTGTATGGCAAAAATTGTTATATTATCGATTGCCATATTAACTATTGGTATGGTAACAGTTACTATACAAATGATTATACTATGGCATCGGTTAGTATAACAACTGTTACTATACAAACTGTCACAAACGATTATACTATAGAAACAGTTAGTACAGCAAAAATTATTATACAAACAATTATACTACAATGGTAATTAGTGTAGCAAACTTGGGTATAGTAATAATTACTATACAAACGATTATACTACAAAAATGGTTAATATAACAACAATTATTATATTAGCAATTGCCATAGCAACTGTTGGTATGGTAACAATTACTATACAAAGGTTTATACTACAGCAACGGTTAGTATAGCAGCGGTAACTATACAAACGATTTTACTTCAGTAACGGTTAGTATAGCAACAATTGTTATAATAGTGATTGTTACAGCAACAATTGATATGGTAACAGTTACTATACAAACCATTAATCTATACTAACGGCTACAGTAGAAACGATTATACAATAGCAACAGTTTGTATGGCAAAAATTGTTATATTATAGATTGCCATATCAACTATTGGTATATGGTAACAATTACTATACAGAAGTTTATATTACAGCAACGGTTAGTATAGCAACAATTGTTATAATAGTGATTATTACAGCACCAATTGATATGGCAACAGTTACTATACAAACAATTAATATAAAGTAACGGTTAGTATCGCAACGGCTACAGTACAAACGACTATATGACAGTAACGAGTTGTATGGCAAAAATTGTTATATTATCGATTGCCATATTAACTACTGGTATGGTAACAGTTACTATACAAATGATTATACTATGGCATCGGTTAGTATAACAACTGTTACTATACAAACTGTCACAAACGATTATACTATAGAAACAGTTAGTACAGCAAAAATTATTATACAAACAATTATACTACAATGGTAATTAGTGTAGCAAACTTGGGTATAGTAATAATTACTATACAAACGATTATACTACAAGAATGGTTAATATAACAACAATTATTATATTAGCAATTGCCATAGCAACTGTTGGTATGGTAACAATTACTATACAAAGGTTTATACTACAACAACGGTTAGTATAGCAGCGGTAACTATACAAACGATTTTACTTCAGTAACGGTTAGTATAGCAACAATTGTTATAATAGTGATTGTTACAGCAACAATTGATATGGTAACAGTTACTATACAAACCATTAATCTATACTAACGGCTACAGTAGAAACGATTATACAATAGCAACAGTTTGTATGGCAAAAATTGTTATATTATAGATTGCCATATCAACTATTGGTATATGGTAACAATTACTATACAGAAGTTTATATTACAGCAACGGTTAGTATAGCAACAATTGTTATAATAGTGATTATTACAGCACCAATTGATATGGCAACAGTTACTATACAAACAATTAATATAAAGTAACGGTTAGTATCGCAACGGCTACAGTACAAACGACTATATGACAGTAACGAGTTGTATGGCAAAAATTGTTATATTATCGATTGCCATATTAACTATTGGTATGGTAACAGTTACTATACAAATGATTATACTATGGCATCGGTTAGTATAACAACTGTTACTATACAAACTGTCACAAACGATTATACTATAGAAACAGTTAGTACAGCAAAAATTATTATACAAACAATTATACTACAATGGTAATTAGTGTAGCAAACTTGGGTATAGTAATAATTACTATACAAACGATTATACTACAAAAATGGTTAATATAACAACAATTATTATATTAGCAATTGCCATAGCAACTGTTGGTATGGTAACAATTACTATACAAAGGTTTATACTACAGCAACGGTTAGTATAGCAGCGGTAACTATACAAACGATTTTACTTCAGTAACGGTTAGTATAGCAACAATTGTTATAATAGTGATTGTTACAGCAACAATTGATATGGTAACAGTTACTATACAAACCATTAATCTATACTAACGGCTACAGTAGAAACGATTATACAATAGCAACAGTTTGTATGGCAAAAATTGTTATATTATAGATTGCCATATCAACTATTGGTATATGGTAACAATTACTATACAGAAGTTTATATTACAGCAACGGTTAGTATAGCAACAATTGTTATAATAGTGATTATTACAGCACCAATTGATATGGCAACAGTTACTATACAAACAATTAATATAAAGTAACGGTTAGTATCGCAACGGCTACAGTACAAACGACTATATGACAGTAACGAGTTGTATGGCAAAAATTGTTATATTATCGATTGCCATATTAACTATTGGTATGGTAACAGTTACTATACAAATGATTATACTATGGCATCGGTTAGTATAACAACTGTTACTATACAAACTGTCACAAACGATTATACTATAGAAACAGTTAGTACAGCAAAAATTATTATACAAACAATTATACTACAATGGTAATTAGTGTAGCAAACTTGGGTATAGTAATAATTACTATACAAACGATTATACTACAAAAATGGTTAATATAACAACAATTATTATATTAGCAATTGCCATAGCAACTGTTGGTATGGTAACAATTACTATACAAAGGTTTATACTACAGCAACGGTTAGTATAGCAGCGGTAACTATACAAACGATTTTACTTCAGTAACGGTTAGTATAGCAACAATTGTTATAATAGTGATTGTTACAGCAACAATTGATATGGTAACAGTTACTATACAAACCATTAATCTATACTAACGGCTACAGTAGAAACGATTATACAATAGCAACAGTTTGTATGGCAAAAATTGTTATATTATAGATTGCCATATCAACTATTGGTATATGGTAACAATTACTATACAGAAGTTTATATTACAGCAACGGTTAGTATAGCAACAATTGTTATAATAGTGATTATTACAGCACCAATTGATATGGCAACAGTTACTATACAAACAATTAATATAAAGTAACGGTTAGTATCGCAACGGCTACAGTACAAACGACTATATGACAGTAACGAGTTGTATGGCAAAAATTGTTATATTATCGATTGCCATATTAACTATTGGTATGGTAACAGTTACTATACAAATGATTATACTATGGCATCGGTTAGTATAACAACTGTTACTATACAAACTGTCACAAACGATTATACTATAGAAACAGTTAGTACAGCAAAAATTATTATACAAACAATTATACTACAATGGTAATTAGTGTAGCAAACTTGGGTATAGTAATAATTACTATACAAACGATTATACTACAAAAATGGTTAATATAACAACAATTATTATATTAGCAATTGCCATAGCAACTGTTGGTATGGTAACAATTACTATACAAAGGTTTATACTACAGCAACGGTTAGTATAGCAGCGGTAACTATACAAACGATTTTACTTCAGTAACGGTTAGTATAGCAACAATTGTTATAATAGTGATTGTTACAGCAACAATTGATATGGTAACAGTTACTATACAAACCATTAATCTATACTAACGGCTACAGTAGAAACGATTATACAATAGCAACAGTTTGTATGGCAAAAATTGTTATATTATAGATTGCCATATCAACTATTGGTATATGGTAACAATTACTATACAGAAGTTTATATTACAGCAACGGTTAGTATAGCAACAATTGTTATAATAGTGATTATTACAGCACCAATTGATATGGCAACAGTTACTATACAAACAATTAATATAAAGTAACGGTTAGTATCGCAACGGCTACAGTACAAACGACTATATGACAGTAACGAGTTGTATGGCAAAAATTGTTATATTATCGATTGCCATATTAACTACTGGTATGGTAACAGTTACTATACAAATGATTATACTATGGCATCGGTTAGTATAACAACTGTTACTATACAAACTGTCACAAACGATTATACTATAGAAACAGTTAGTACAGCAAAAATTATTATACAAACAATTATACTACAATGGTAATTAGTGTAGCAAACTTGGGTATAGTAATAATTACTATACAAACGATTATACTACAAAAATGGTTAATATAACAACAATTGTTATAGTAGTGATTGTTACTACTACAATTGATATGGCAACAGTTACTATACAAACCATTACACTATAGTAACGTTTAGAATATAGCAGCTACAGTACAAATGATTATACAATAGCAATGGTTTTTATAGCAAAAATTGTCATATTATCGATTGCCATATCAACTGTTGGTATGGTAACAGTTAGTATACAAATGATTATACTTTAGTACCGGTTAGTATAACAACTGTTACTATACAAAAGATTTTACTTCAGTAACGGTTAGTGTAGCAATGATTGTTATATTAACGATTCATATAGCACTTATTTGTATGGCAACATTTACTATACAATTGATTATACTATATAGCAAATGGTTAGTATAGTAACAGTTGCCATATAGAATAAAATAAAAGTAAAATACCATTACATAATTTCTACCTACTTTTAGCCAAATTTTCCGAATGATATTGCCGATGATATTCACTGGGATCCAATAAAGAATTTGAAGAATAATTGTAAAATAACATAATATTAATTAAAAAAAATACTTTTTTTAAGTGCATGTAGATAAACTTTTTTAAATATACATAAAAAGAATCGTAGCTCATTGAAAAATAAAACCCTTGGCATTGACAATCTATATCATTATAATCAATATATACATAATAATCAATTTAGATTAAAATTGGACATTAAAATTGTACAAGTTAATTAATTTTTTACTTTATTAAAAGTAAATTTCACAGCATCGATTATATTTAAAATTTATGCAGAAGCTATTATTATACTTTAAGAATGACAAAGTTAATTGCCCATTGTTTCGCAACGATATTTATATATATATATATATATATATATATATATATATTATGTAAGTTGACAAAACTTTTGATAAGAAATCATATCGTAAATTAATTAGTTTCTTAATTAAAAAATTTTAATAAAATGCCTATAATTTTATTTTTCTGTATATGTATAAAAATTATTTCTGTATATTTGTATAAAAAGTATAAAATATAAAAGTATAATTATTTTTGTATAAATATAAAAAAGTATAATAAAATATAAATAATAATTATTTTCTGTATATAATATAAAAAGTATAAAACGTTTAATTGACTTTGCGAATATATATATATATATATATACATGCTTTTGCTAAAATGTCCTATGGGGACTAATTTGAACTCAAGTTGGGCGCGACATTATTCTGGGAAATAATAGTTGTTTGAAGTACAGGGTATAATTGAATTGACTGGATCTAAATGGCAGGACGGCTATGGATAAGTTTAGTATATAGATATTGTCAGTCTAATCACAACGGGGGCACGTGCAAGGCATCCTGATCTTCAAACTTAAGCAAGACACGTTTGTAATATAGTTTAGAATTATATATATATATCTCCCGTTTATTGTCACTTTAGTATTGATAATTAAAAAGATGCTTTTTTATCTTTTAGAATATTAAAACAATTTTTTGTCTCAATTAAATAAAATAATAAAATGAAATAATAATAAAATAAAAGAATAATAAAAAAAAAGTATAAATAAAATCAATAAAATAATAATAAGGTAAAGAAATAATAAATAAATAATTAAATTAATATTAAAATGAAAAATTAAATTTTTCCTTAATTTTAACTTTTAAAAAATAAATTTATATATCGAGCGAGTATATATAATCAATTGACGAAATTAAAGAACAACTTTGTACTCTATATTAAGTGATGAAAGCTATCAAAATAATTAAACTAATCAAGTTGTCGATAATTAGATTAAAAAAAAAGTAAATTTCGACTATTATAAAATGATATATACTGAATTTAGTTTTTTCCAGAGAATTTAATGTTCTTTGTATAATCAATTTTATTCCTTGAAAATTGATAAGGAAATAATAATTAACTAATGATGGCAAAAAAAAAAAAGTGTGCACCCCATCACTATATATATATACTTTCATGTCTAATTTATTTTATTTCAACCGACTATAGACCAACTTTGATTCAAGAGTCGTTTTCGTTTGTTCCGTAATTAAGAAGGGTAGGGGGACCATTAAGGGGTCGTTGGGGTGTTTGCCCTCTAAATTCTTTAATGAATTGAGTCTATTTGGCCATTATGAGTTTCTTATTTACCTACATTATTGCTGTAATATTTAATAGTTGTTATGATATATTTTTTTACATTTCTTTTTTTTTTTTTATTTTATTTTCACTGTTGCAAAGATTAGAATAACGTTTAAATATTTTAAAATCTAAAATCTTTAGTTTGTTTCACAATTTTTTTTTTTTTAAATCCACTCAAGGAATTGATTTTACTTTATTAGATTATTTTTGAAAGATAAAAATGTTGTAAAAATTTTAAAATTCTAAAATTAGAAAAAAAATTCTTTTAAAATTGTTAGAATTTTTATTTTTACGGAATTTTATTGCTTATGAATGTACTCTTAGCCTAATTTTGATTTTATTATTTAACATAATTTTTATTTAACCGAATTTTTATATAACCGAATTTCTATTTAATTAAATTTCTATTTGACCGAATTTCTATTTAATTAAATTTCTATTTGACCGAATTTCTATATATATTACGTATATTACAGAATTGTTATTTTTATTTTGTTTTCTTTTTTCTTTAAAAAGTAAATTATATCACAGAAAATTAAAAGGCATTAAAATAAGCTGCAACGCTTATTATTTTAATCCAATTTTACTTATTTTAATACCAAAATGGATTAAAATAAGCAAAATTGGATTAAAATAATAAGCGTTGCAGCTTATTTTAATACCTTATAATTTTATGTGATAAAAATAATTTCCTTACTCAGGTAATTAGTAATGAAATTCATCCAAACAAATTAATTTTTACATTCTATTCATACAAAATATAAATGCAAAATTAAGTGCGTGGGAAAATGAAATTTTTAAACTCACAAGTTGAATTCATCCGGAAATGAAATCATCATTCAGAAGAAAAAGAAGAAGAAGAAGAAGAAGTTCCTTTTGAATAGAATTTTGTGTCATCCTTTATATTTTATAAATAATAAAATACAACAAGCTTTAGATGTCTTCTTAGCAGGCAAAGCCTATTATTAGAATTTCACTCGAGAATTTAGTGTTTACAGACATTGCACGCGCCTTTCAAAATACATATACACATAATCCTAAAGTATAGAACACACATATATAGAGAGAGAAAAAGTGACCACCCTGATGGTAGAATCCCAACTTCTCTTCTTCTTCCCGGAAAGAAGAGGAAATTTTCTTATTTTTATTATTTTTCAGTAAAAATTGTAGTAGCCTCTTTGAAATTCAAGTCAGAGGAAAACTACCTGTTCATATTAGTCACCCATTCTCCTCTTTACCCCGTCGTCATCAGTCACTGCAGGCGACACTTTCTTCGAGCTGGGAATCGGAACCATTCGCACAGGAGGAGACCCATTATTCGTCATTACATGGTTACTCGTGAAAACATGCTCACCCACCGTCATGATCTAAAATCTCATATATATATATATATATATATATATAGAGGGAAAAAAAGAGAGAGATCGACGAATTGTGTTTATATGTGAGAACGGGTCTTTGCCGAGAATTTCATGCTCTTTGTGGTCAATCGATTGTGTTGCAGGACGTATGTCAATATTTGGAGCTGCGTTCCGTTTTATATATATATGTATATATATATATACTCCCAAAACTAAGCCAATGCAATCCATCATTGCCAATATTATATTTTCTGGATATAGACTTTTATGACTGAAAATGTTAGAGGCGAAGAATACCATATGGTACTTAATATTTGACAGAATAAATGTATCAACAAAGAATGCAAAGCTCTTTTAAATTTGATATTTTCATGGAAAAAAAAATGAAATTTTTGACAATATTTGGAAATAAAAAGTTAGTGTTTAGCGAGAAATAGTATATGTCTTTCCAAACAAACGATATTATACTATATATAGAAACGGTAAGTATAGCAATCGTTAATATAGCAATTATTAGTATAGCAACAGTTACTATACAAAAGCAGCGGTTAGTATAGCAATCGTTACTATACAAATGATTACACTTTAGTAACGGTTAGTATAGCAATCATTACTATACAATTACGATTATACTATAGTAACTATTACTATGGTAGAGCCTTAATAACACAAGATATCTTGGGGATATATTGATAATATCCCGCAGATATCCTAGGGATGTCCTATGGATATCATAAGGATCTCTTAAGGATATCCAAAAAATCGTCAGTTTGGATATCCTTTGGATATCCCATGGATATCTGAGGATATCCACAGGATATCCACAGGATATCTTCTGGATGTCTCTATAGACTTTCATAAATGTCCTCCAGATATCTCATAGATATCGTCAGGACATCCCACAGATATCATCAGGATATCCCATAAATATCGTCAGGATATCTCACAGATATTTTCAGGATATTCTCAGTATATCTTCTGGATGTCAAGAAGATATTCTATAAGGATACTGTTTTTAAAGTCATTATGAGCACTACGAGTGAGAATATTCTGTGAATTAAATTTTATATAAATAAAATAAAATGCAACTTGTTTTTCGAGAAAGTTGTTTAATTTGAAAAATTATTAACTAATTTTTTTCTCATTCGTGATTCATTCCTTTATTCATATGCTTAATATTATCATAAAATAATTGGCTTTAAACAATATATAAATTCTTCCCCGCAAATAACGAATAACTATTAATATTAATTATACATTAAGTGCATGAGTTTATTTAAAAACTTTGAAAAATGCGTTTCAAATCTTCATTTAAAATAAATTAGAAGCTCATAAGATTTTTGTTTTTATTATATTATTATTCATTATATTAGCTTAAAAATTTTAACCTTTAAAAATATATGTTGAGATATTAAATATCCCGTGAATATCCTAAAAATATCCCACGGACATCCTGAGGATATCCCATGGATATCCTGCGATATAATATCCAATAGATATTTTGTGGATGTCTTAGGGTTATCCTATGGATGTCCTGTTGATGTCCCACAGACCGGCGGTTTGGATATCCTATGGATATCTCAAGATATCCTGGGGACCATTCTAGGTTATCGACCATTGATATGGATATTATAGGGATATCCTTTTGTTATGAGGGAGTATATGTCTTTCTAAACAAACGATTATACAATATAGAAACGGTAAGTATAGCAATCGTTAATATAGCAATTATTAGTATAGCAACAGTTACTATACAAATTAGCGGTTAGTATAGCAATCGTTACTATACAAATGATTACACTTTAGTAACGGTTAGTATAGCAATCATTACTATACAATTACGATTATACTATAGTAACTGTTACTATGGTAGTGATTGCTATAGTAACGATTTTCATAGTACCCATTGGTATGTCAACAGTTAGTATACAAACTATTATACTACAGCTACGGTTAGTATAGCAGCGATTACTATACAAACGATTGTACTATCCCACTTGGAAAGATTCCCTGTAAAGTGCCCCCTAGAGGTTCTATCAGAATTCGGCCGAAACTTCCAACGTAATTCCGTCAGAATTCCGTCGGAATCCCATTGGAAATTCTTTGGAACTCCAATGGAATTCCGCGGGA